AGATTTTAGGGTTTGTACAGAACACAAAGAACAACCCCTCAGCTTTCTGTGAATCAGTTTTGTTGGATTTGGTGTTTTTTTTCTTTGTTTTGTTTTTTTAAAGATGACCACATTGGCTCAGCCAGACTGCCAAGGTTTTCAGATAAGGCCAAGATGCCTTTCACAGAGGCGTTTATATACGAAGTGTTCCGCCATGCGTCGTACGTCCCTTTCACTATACCTCACTGGTAAGACACAAGCTTTATTAGCACTTCATTCTCTAATCTCAGTCTGTATATTGTTGATTAAGCTTCTCTTGTTTTCTCCTCCTCAGTACTACAAGGAACATCACCCTGAACGGGTATTTCATTCCCAAAGATACGTGTGTCTTCATTAACCAGTATCAAGTCAACCATGACATGTAAGTAGCTGCTGATTATATGACGATTATAACTGAGACTTTCAGAAGACAGAGTACTGAGAGTGAAATACAGCGGTGGAATGTAACTAAGTAAATTTACATGTACTTGATTACTTTACTTAAGTATTTCCAGTTCCCACTACTTTACACTCCAGCACAATTCAGAGGCAAATATTAAACATTTTTACTTCACTGCATTTATGTGCTGACTTCAGATAATCACAAATAATTTGTGATGTAATATTATAGATAACATTATATTGATCTTCAAAAGATAAATCACAAGCTACCCAGCAGGTTAACTAAATAAAGTAGTTAAAACATCTCTACCAGTTCAAACATTAAAGTGATGAACATTTTAATGCATCAGAAATTGGAATCCAATATTATACAATATTATAATTTTTGCCATTCTGCATAGTTAGTGCTTTTACTTTGGCACTTTAAGTGTATTTTCAATGCAAATATTTGTGTATGTGTACATTTAAATGCATTACTTTTACTTGTATTTTTGCACAGTGTTATTATAAATTTTACTAAAGTACAAGATCTCAGTGCTTCTTCCATCTCTGTATCTTTCAAAGCCTTTTTCCTCATTTCATAAGCACTGATCTTCTTTTCTTCACTCTCTTCCAGTGACCTTTGGGGTGATCCGGACACATTTCGCCCTGAGCGCTTCCTCAGTCCATCAGGACTCCTCAACAAAGAGCTCACGGAGAAGGTTCTTATCTTCGGCATGGGGAAGAGACGATGTCTTGGTGATGGATTTGCACGTTTGGAGATGTTTGTCTTTCTCACCACGCTGCTTCACGGACTGAGGATTGGAAAGGTTCCAGGCGAGGAGCTTGATCTCAGCACCGATTTTGGTCTGACTATGAAACCACGTCCCTACAGGATTACCATCTCTTCAAGATTTTAGACCTAAAATAACAAAATTTTCCTCCTTGTGGATGTTTTGGAATATCACAAATAGAAATTACTGTTTGCCACCATCTTTGGTTAACCTCCATAATTCCACAGAGATAAACCAGCTGTCATTATTACTCTCAGACTGGAGTACAATTTTATTTTATTTTATTTTTGGCACATAACATAACAAACATAAGCACACAACTGATCAACAGAAGAGAAATATATGCATAACCTGAATATGAATTCATTGTATTGAACACTAAATGCTAAGCCAGGGTCATTCAAAGTGCTTCTTTTCAAAGGGTCCCTCAGCCTTTCAGTCCCACCACATAAAAAATGAAAGTAGCTTGAAAACTGTCTCTGTCATTAAAAGCCTTTATCTTAAGTTATTAGTTACAGCTAAACACTGAGGGAGGGAGAGAGGGGGTGTTTCAGATTGGTGATCAGCGCTTCAGGCCTCAAATCGTGTTCATGCAGGGTTCATCCTCATCCTCATCGACCCTCGTCTCCCCTTTCATGCTTCAACTTTTTCTCCCATCTCCTCCTCATCACTTAGATTCTTTTCATCTTCTCACCCGTATCATATCCTCGCCTTCCTGTCCTTATCCTCCTCCTTAAACTCCTCCTCCTCTTCATGTAGCTTCAAAGCTTACACTGTCGCGCCAACTCATCTGCTCCCAATGCTTCCCCAGTGGCTCTCTGAGGAATGACGCCAAAATGTATATTAAGATAAAGAAATGTCACATCTTTTTGAACCTCCTCCTTCCTGCCCATCAGCACTGTGACCTCCCACACACCCAGATTAGAAAGCAGACATCTTAAAGGGGAGGTAAAGAGGACAGCGAAGTGTGAAATCAGGCAGTTATTTCCATAAGCTAAATGTAAATAAGCATGGCAGGACATGTCTGAGAAAAAGAGGAGTCAGGCAGAATTATGCAACGAAACTTTATCCTTTGATGAAAAGTTTAAAAGTTATGTTCAGGACAATATTATTTTTTGTTAAACTTTTATGTGTTCAGGGAAAGTCTACTGCATGTTCTACCTGGAAACTCCATGATACAGACACACAGTCTTCTACTATTAGTCATAGAGTTGTTTCACCTGAACAATAAGAGGTCAAGTGTGTTGCAAGGATTCAAACTTGCAGCCGCCTTGGACTATCCATCTTCATTCACCTCTCAGGCTCCCAGGAATAACATTAAAGACTATAGCATTCGAAGCCCGCCTTCAGTGGCTTATTGTTACTGTTGTTGGATGTTTGACCGTCACTGTATAGAATAATGTATATGTAGACTTTAACACGTTTTTTTCCACGTTAATCTGTTGATGAGTGACAGCGTCTTTGTGCTTACTTAAAATACTAGTTGAAGTCCTGTGTGTTAAAGCTGTATGAGTTACTTTAGAAGCATGTCATAGTTCAATATGTGATTTACACAAGAGTGATGTGAAAACTAGAAACCTCCAGTAGACATACACTAATAATGGCCTTTTGAGTGAAAGAGAGGATATTATGTGTTCAGAAGATTTTCAAATTAACAAACCAATATTTGTATATTTGTAAATTCTGCTCTTTCACGAGGGAGAATGCAAATATAATAATAAAAAAAATAAAACCTGGTACTGAATCAGACACAAACTGTCATCCAAAGCAAATAAATGTTGTATTTCCTAAAACATGGCTGGAGGGGATTGTTAGAAATTGTGATTTGTGAGGAACATTTGTGGCACTATTGCAAGAACTTTGGTGAATTGGTCGCTGAGTTAACTGAACTGATTTAATATTAATTGTTGTTAACCTACGTTTCTGGAAATATATTTTTCTTAAGCACTTGTTTTATTTGTGTGCTATTATAAATTCTGTTTTCTTTTTCTTTTTTATTTATGACTGCCATATCTCGAATTACCTCTTTGACAAATGAACTCACAGCACTAAATACCACTGAGCACATCATTACTATTGTTGAATCCTAAAAAAATGTCATAAAAAAAAAAAGGTTTAGCAAATACGAAAAACATTTAAAGAAATATTACAGCACATATAGCCAACAATGTGTGGTGATTTTTAAAAAAAAAAGTAATCTAGTTCTAATAGAAAATAATATGTTGTAAATAAAGTAAATAAAATGTCAGTTTCTAACAATGTCTATAGAAAACATGTAACATTACAAAATAAAAAATAAAAAAAGATTGTTAATCTCTGTGCTCCACTATTGCATTATTTGTCCTTTTAGACTCCTGTGTCACATCGGTTTACAAGACTCTACACTGTATAAACAGACATAAAACCTTTTTTTCTTACTGTCAGACATTAAATCAGACTGAACTTTTAATGTTTTAGGTCAGTTAGGATTACCAAAATTATTTGTATTTGCTAAATGCCAGAATGATGAGAGAGAGAATTTTATAGAGATTTTGTTATTACTTTCTTCAAAGTCAGAAGTTTACATACAGTGAGAAAAAAAAGGTTTTATGTCTTTTATACAGTGTATGCAAACTTCTGGCTTTGAAGAAAGTAATGAAAAATTCTTAATATTTTTTTCCACATGTGCAGATTATGTGGGTGTGATTAGCATCCATGGTCCACACTGTCCCCGAGACTGGTGTTGTGGCTGGACTTTTTAACTAAAATAACGTCAAAACAAACAATAAAAACAAACAAACAAACAAACAAAAATAATGATTTCCCCCTCATATCTTTATACTGTTTGATGAATGATGTGTTGCCCACATAGAACCCTCCTCTGTTAGTGTGATGTTTAGTTCTTTTTCCTGTTTTTTTTTTCTTTAATATACCTGAAATTATGACCTGTTCATGAAGAGCCCAGTATCATTTAGAGAGAGTTTTAGTATTTATCGAATTGTTCAATTGCTTCAATCAGAATATTTATCACTGTGATAATCTCTTCAGATGTTTTTTTTTTCATTAGTCTCTTGAATTCTCTCTAAGTTAAGGTGCACAGCACTGTCATGACAAGTCCCATCTTTAAGCATACTTTAACAAAAAAAATGTAATCATGCAAAAACCAGCTCGTGAAATGTTCAGATCCATATGTTGCTGCATCTTACAATAATGCAAAACAAAATGCATTGAATACTTCTGGTGTGAAATACTTGATTATAAAAACGAGAAGAAAAAAAACCCAAAAAACATAAAGAAGTTATTTTCTTTGAACTTTTAAACTGATTGAGTCAGTTGTACCACAAAAACACAAATATTGGTAGATCTTGATCCAAGTTGACCAGAGTTCTGGAGCTTCAAAATAGCTCTTTTAGTCCATTATCAATCAGCCAATCACCTGTCAATCACTGGTTGCTATGGTGATTCCCACCTTTCAGTGAAAATACAGAGTTTGGTTGCAGAAAGAGAAACAGAAGATTAGACCTTCGAACAAATGGTTACAGTTCTCTGAGACTTATCAACAACAACAACAACAACAACAACAACAACAACACGTCCTACAGCAATGAGACTCACTCTGGATAAAAGAAGACAAAAACGTCTACATTTTTATGTATGAATTGCTCATGTGGAGGAGAAATTGTGAGGAGACAAGGTTAGTAGCACTTTAAAAAAACAAACAAACAAAAAAACCCGCACATTCAGGTCAAAACTTGAAAAAAAGCGGGGAAAAAATCTTAATTTTCAAAAAATTCTTAGAACTTAAACTATGACTGTGTAAAAACAGTAAACGTTGGGACGTCCCTATAGCTCACCTGGTTGAGCGTGCGACCCATGAGGCTATAGTTCCTCGGTGCGGTGTACGTGAGTTCGATTCCTGCTCACCACAGTTTGCTGCAAGGTCGCTCCCCGTTCTTCTCCCCTCTTTCCTGTCTCACTCTCTCACTGTCCTGACTAATAAAGGCAGAAACACCAGAAAAATTATGTTTAAATAAATTAAAGTAAAAGCTATGAAAGCATGGATTTAAATTAATCATATTTAAAGCCTTGTGACTTGTGTAAACTTTAAATGAAGCGTCTGTTGTAAAATGTGCCGGAGCTACCAAAAACTGCTGGGTTTTGGCAGGTGTTGTTAGCAGGTCGTTGCATATTATTGATGGTGTAACAAGTATTCAGATCCTTTAGTGACATAAAAGCACCGTTACCCTCATTTAGAATACTCCAATAACAGTTAAAGACCTGCATGTGTGAGCAAAATATTATTAAATGTACTTAAAATATCAAAAATGAAAGCACAAATTATATTAAAGCTGCAAGCAGCGTTGAAATTATTTAAAATTGCAAGCAGCGTTGGGCGGGCCCTCGCACTTCCACACGTGGTGCACGTCGGGGTTTTGGCAGAAATGTGCTCCTGGTCAAAGAGACAATCACCTAACCGTAACCCTTTTCTCATCAAACAGTAAATGCTGTTAAGTGTCACAGTTGTGCAGAATGCTGTCCTTGTGCCGTTTATCCACTAGATGTGGTGATTGTGTGGTACTGTGTATTTTACTGATGTTCTCTGGAGTGTGTGTTTTGAGAGCACGAGCAGAGCTGCAACCATCTGGCCCAGGACCTACCAGCTGCCACCAGGCCCAGGATACACCAGGACCTAGACCCAGGATCCACCAGGACCCACCAGGCGCGGGATCCACCCCCTGCCTCCAGGCCCTGGACCCACCAGGCCCAGAATCCACCACCTGCCTCTAGGCCCAAGATCCACCAGGCCCAGGTTCTACTAGGCCCAGGACCCACCACCTGCCTCCAGGCCCGAGACCCACCAGGCCCAAGTTCTACTAGGCCCAGGTTCTACCATCTGCCTCCAGGCCGGCAGCTAACTAACAACTTGCTCAAGCTGCATTTCTATTTACACACATCAGTAATCTCTTCTGACCAGGTGCAATGATTACATGCTGAGTCCCAGTTACCAGGTGAAACAAATTCTGACTTCGGGATCTGACTGAAGAGTGGGACGTCCTGCCCATTGACACCATCAACAAGTTGGTGGACAGAATGCCATGATGTCTTAACACATTGATCCATGTCAGGGGTGGCCATACTCAATATTAGTGACTGAGTGACATTTGAAAGAGTAATACTGGACATTCTAATGCATAAAACCCTTTCAAATATGTGTTTCCTGTTAAAGTGACCAAGATTGAAAAATTGAAACAAAACCCTTTATCCTATTGTTTAGTTTAAGCCTGAACACACAGTTTGCAAAAGTCAATTGTTTTTTTGTTTTTTTCTGTGGTATGTATTTTATGTATATTGTTCTATCAACAGAGTTTTGAGAAGACATACACTTTATCAAGAATAAATCACAATCATTTCATGAGAAAAGGTTAAAAAAATATTTCTTTCCAACTTTATGGGAAACAGTGTATTAAGATAAATGGATTATTTAATGTAAACGCAGACAATGTTTGCATTTACAGTGTACAGAAATACAAAAAATATTGGATGCAAGCAAAAACTGTAGGTATGTCAAATGTCTTCCGTGTAAAGAGCACTTTAATTGACATTCACCTGTCACATCAAGCAGATGTAATGTGCCTGAAATACAACATGTTCTCAGTTTAGGTTTACTTAATATTTTACTCATTATTACAGCAAAATAACACTATATACCTTAAACCAAATTTACAGATAGTTGTTCTAATTTACACAGGTCCAATAAAATATTTGTTTAGTCCTTCTATTGTCTATTAATTCTAATTCCCAAGGTTACCCATATCATATAAATGTTGTTGTAGAAAGACTGTAAGCCCCACACTGACTTCAAAGGCCAGACAGAGTCCTATAACAGCAAAAGGCCTGCAGCCATTTATTGTATTAAAGGCATCTTTCCCAGTTTGCCTGTGTGTAGCCATGTATACAAACCATTTACAGCAGCAAATTGGTTTGTGGTGATTAATTAACAAAACACACCCAGAGGATGAGACCTCAGCCCCCTCATCAACCCTGTTCCCTCTCCATGTGCTCGCTGTGGCTCACTGTGTCTTTGTCCCTCACTTTGTTCTAGTCCACAGAGCTCACAGTAGGATTTAAACTATGGCCATCATTAAGAATAACAAATCACAGTCAACATGTGCTGAGTGGCCTCTGATCTAAAGCAGCCAATAAAACATAGCACGCAAAGTTTGGAATCTGGCTCTCATGTGGTGTAACAAAGAGGACCACTTGTGGGGCCCATGGTATAGAATAAAAGTGCCGGACCCAATTACAGGCAAACATCGTCTACTTATAGAAACTGTTAACCCCCGTCAGTGCTAAAATGCCACCCTGACTCAAACTGTTTTTGTTGATGCTGTGCCTGCTTCACTCTGAGCCTTCAGTGAGACTAAAACAAGAAACACCATAATCAGTCTCTCTGTGACTCCTCACTCAAATTACCTTTTCCACACAGATGAAACATTAAAGAGAAATGAATCTGTGGAGTTTTATTGCAGAGTTTATATGAATGTGTAAATGTATAAATCTGCAAAGTTTAGCACAGCCTTTCCTACATATATTTGAACATTTTGTCATGAAGTTCTAATTTTACTGAACTAACCTCAGGTCAGAAAAAAATCACAGTAAAAGTAACATGACATTGCGTGCTACAGAGAGAGTCCATTCCCGGCCGTTGGATCTGACCTCTCAAGACTATAGGAACAGATCATGGGTTTTGGACACTTCATTTCTCAAGCGCTAATGAGCCACAATAGTGCAAACTGAATGACCGACTGACTTCCTATTTGCCTCTTCAGTTACACATGGGGCCCTGTATTGTGGGGGCCTCCTTCTATAGATACAAGTGGGCCGCACCAATTAAGATACTGCACGCAATCTTCTGAACGCAGCTGTCAGTGCCCCCATTATGATGTGTGTGTGTGTGTGTGTGTGTGCCCCCCGTCCATGTGATGAAATATTTTAATGATGTTAAATATATGCTGGTTCATGAGCATGTGCAGTGTAAACGAAGCATGTAAGATACATGAAATGGTCCAAACAGTCTAATTGCACCACTTTGCTGCAGGACTTTGCACCGTGTGCATTAAAGTACAGCTCAAACATCCTCATCTTCCACTGACTGTCCAGATCTCAGCTTCATGATCACCTTTCAGCAATAAAAAGGAAGTTAGAGGGACAGTGTTATCAAGTAGATCAAGGTGGGGTTTTTAAAAAAAATGGTAAATATAGATTAGTATTTTGGCATGACTGACCTCTTTCAGCTGGGCAATCTCTTTGCTTTCTACGTTTCTCTGAGCATTGTTGGTTATGGCCTTCACTCTTGTTGCGTAGCTGGAAGACACAGGAATTTCAGGTGTTATTCATCCATCAATCCATCCATTATCTATACACCGATTAATCCTCACGAGGGTCATGGGGGGGGGGGGGCTAACTTAGGGTGAAGGCAGGAGACACCCTGGACAGGTCGCCAGTCTATCACAGAGCTACACTTAGAGACAGACAACCAAGCACACCCCCGGAGAGAACCCACGCTGCACGGGGAGAACATGCAAACTCCACACAGAAAGATCCCGGGTGTCCTCACCGGGATGCGAACTGGCAACCTTCTTGCTGCAAGGCAACAGTGCTAATCACTGATCCACCTTGCGGCCTAGGTGTTATTCAGTAGTTCGTAACCACTAAAATAAATGAAATGATGTAATTTCTCTATCTGTTTCTTACATGAGCGATGTGAGAGTCTCGTCGAGGTTGAATTCTGAGGGAGAGATGTTGACGATCATGAGGGTTTTGGCGTTTCCACCCAAGGAGTCCTGCATCACCTGGGAGAGATCACAGTTTGACTGACCGGCATGTCTGCATGCCCTTAGAATTATATCTGTTTTTTTTTTTTTTATTTTGTGTCTGAGGTCAATAGAATTTCAATGCCTTTAACAGTGAATTAACCCTACTCAGGACTTTCATGTTGCCATACATAGAAGGTCTATGAGAATATGTGCAAAAATATTTGTTGGTATTCATTGCAGACTTTTATATTATGTTAAATATATTTTCTGGTAATTTGATGTATTTTTGGTTCCAAATGCATGACAAATATGCCTCTTTTTACAATTAAAAAAAAAATCTTCAAAAAAAAAAAACAGACAATACCTGTCACCTAAAACAAATGACCTGCAGTCCAAAAGACCCCAAAAGTCCTGAATAGGGTTAAATTTGATTGCCAGAGTGCAAAGCTGTTTATCATTACCTGTGTCAGCTTGCTATTCCTGTACGGTACATGAGGCAGCTCAGCAGACAAGGCTGAGATCACATCACCCAGGGCACTTAGAGACTTGTTAATAGAGTTGGCCTCCTGCAGAGGGGAGGAGAAAACTTAAAGGGCAAGTTTGTTTTTCTGAAATGAGGGGGTATAAGGTATTTATCTTGTCAATGTATTACTTACAGTAGATGGCAGTTAATATGCCACCAGTTTAGAGGAGCAAACTGGGGGTCATGCTTGAAATCTAAGCAATGAACTGCTGTAAACAAGGTCAGCAACAAATCGTTTGTAGATCAGTTTACAGTACATGTACCCTGTATTTTAGCGCTTTACCTTGCAGTCACACATTCCTTTAAAATGGGAAACTGAAGCTTTTATTTTGCTCTCTTGAAAGCTGCCAGACCACGTTAACAAAACAGTAATTAAAGCAAAAAATTTGGGGCTAAATCTGTTGGTTCAGAGCCAAACTGATGGGGTACAACACCACATTCACACAATAAGAGACCAGCAACTCCCCTGTTCTCTGAGGTAAATTACTGTTTTTGTAAATGGAGTCTGGCAGCATTAAAGAGAGCAATATGTAGCTGCAGTTCCCAGTTGGAAAATACTGTTTGATGGCAAAATAAAGTGGTGAAAATATTTTAAATATAGCCTATGCATAAGCTAATACAGATGGTTTTTAGGTGGCTAAAATATGCCTCCTTGTGTTCCTGACAGTCATCTACTGTAAGTACACTATCAGTTAATAAGCAGCTCATGCCATTCATGCCTATTCAAAGAACCAAACTATCCTTTAAAAGATGCCATGAGAACTAACTGATACTTTCAATCTTCCTTGCAACCCCTTGGTGTGTCAGTCAAACTACATCATATGAACAAACCTTGAGCTGGTGGTCCTTGGCACCAGTCTTGGCTGCTCTCTCACTGCCTGCCAGGTCCACAAGGCTCAGCTTCCCAGTGCTCACACTCCCATTAGTCAGATTCTTACTCTCCACTCTGATGCCAACAATGAGATGGGAGCGGGAACTCTCCACATTCATCTCTTGAGAAGTACACACAACAAACAACAACAAAAAGATTTAAATAGCTCTGGAATTTGATTCACATTGGCTTGTTGTGGTTTCTCTCAAATAAACCTCATGCACGGCTACTTGAAGTCCACAGATTTGTGCTGCAACTGACAATTATTGTCATTATAGATTAATCCTCAGATTCTATAGAACAATGCTGCTCCTCTTCCTGTAATATGTTGATTCACAGTTCGCTCTGCCACTCACCACCCAGCCCAGTAAACATGTACCTAGCTGCCACACACGAACTGTAACTAACATGATTAATCCAAACCATTTAGCAGGGCCCTGTTTGAACTGGGTGACATTGCACGGTATAGAGAACTCACTGGTGGCAGAGATGTGTCGGTTGGCGCAGGCCTGCTGGAACAGAGCGTAGAGCTCCTGGGCACTGGAAGCCTCCTTTGTCTCTGCTCCTTGGGCGAACACAACCCCCTTTCTGTTCCTCTTGATCTCCACCCGCCTGGCCTGGCCATGGGATTGAGTCTGTGCATGGGCCTCACCAGCCTGGCTCACAAAGAGGTCCTGCAGCCTGTCGTTGTACAGCTCCAGCATATAGGCCGAAACCTGACGTAAAAGGATGCACGAAGATTAGGAAGAAGACAGGAATGGAGAGGAAGAAAATGAGGATTTCAGGGATGATTTTTTTTCTTATTTTAAGTCCAATTTAAGATCGTTCCTCTCCCAAATCAGGTTTAATTCCAGTACTAATAAACTGTCTGCTACCTTGAACTCGAATTTAGCGCTGTTCTCCCGTATAATCTCAAATATGGCATTAAAAGATCTTGGCATGATCCCGGGGTTCTTCTGTTCCTTGTCCCCCACCATAGTGAAGGTCTTTCCTGAGCCCGTTTGGCCATACGCGAAGATACAAACATTGTAACCATCGATAGCCGACTGGATCAGTCTAAAGGGAAAACATATTTTTTGAGCTGTTGCCCTAAAAAGAAATCAAACACTTCATGGACCTCCATCAGTGTGATACATTATGTAACTTAAATAAATCCACCACTATTTTGGTTGAACTATGGTAATTTGCACTTTAAATATTAGAAACTACTTCTTTACATTTATAGTGGAACAAAAGACACTCATTTGGGGCCCATCATGTCAGTTTTCTGGTACATTTGTGGATATACTGTGCTGCATTTTAGTTGTTCAGGAGGCATCATCACCATCACCTGTTGGTGTCATGAAATAAGTCTTCCTGAGAGGCTTCAGCACTGAACACCTTGTCAAACTGAAACTCTCTCTGTCCACGTGGGGTTTCTATAGTGACAGAGAACTCGTCGATTTTATCCACAACAATGGCCCCACCCTGCGCTGCTTCGGTTCGGTTCACTGGTCGAATCCTGCAAAACACTCTAATTTTACCTAAGGAGAAACAAAACAAGGGTGTGAAACAAATAAAGCCCTCAAAACAGGCCTAAATTTAAAAAATGCACCAAGACACTGTTGGTAAAAAAATAAAAAACAATAAAACATTTGTATACCTTTCATGTCTTCCACCATATTGTAATATTTCTTCCTCATTGTCCTTTCTGAAGTGTAGTTCTCAACTATTTTCTTTTTGTCTTCTTTTTCCTGCTTCAGCTTGAGATAAAAGCATGATACCACACAGCTGTGATAATGAAGAGTGCTGCAAATGAAAACATGCGTTTGCAGTCCTTGTACAGACACTCAGTGACCAGAAAAGCAGAGAACACTTTTGGTTGTAATAGCTGTAACAAGTTGATTAACTTAACTGACTGAGGGAGCCTGTTAAAGCTCATCATGCAGTCATTTGTTGTTTGTGCTTCTCTTTGTTGTTTCTGTATTTGAATTCCTGCACAGAAGTGTTTTCAGGGACCGATCTGACCTGAGACATTGACCTGTGAGATGTAAAGCTAACCTGATCCTGCAGCAAGAGTAGCTGCTGACCGACATCTGTAGTTTGGACTGCGCCTTGTCCCAGGAGGTCCTCCAGTTCAGAGATTGCAGATTCTGAGAAGAGAAGATACAAGACATACATTTTACTCAAAATACAGAGCTAAATATAGTTCGCTACCATTACAATCATTATGTACCAATGTTGCAGTTTTATGAATGACTGCAGAATTCATATAATGTGGACATAGCCATTAATTTAATATCACTGGTGGCCCCCACCAAGTTAAGATGTGCATTTACCATTCACTACAGGGCTTTCTCCGCTTTTGATGCAGCCTAAGGCAATTTGACAGACTTCATACTCCCTTACTATTTCTCGTAGGAAAGACAGTCTTGACTCATATTCATCTGACCTGTAAAATGGAAATAACAGAATTAAGAAATACCAAAGGTGGCTCAATCGAATCTGCCACATTAAGGTTATTCCAACCCATAAGAGGACCATATTTTTGCACACTGTTCCCATCATGTCTAACCCTTCCTGGTCAGTAGCCGTCTCTCTGCCACTGCCTTCTTCTTTTTCCATCTGCAGACGGTCTAGGTTGTCTCTGGCTTCAAGCAGAGCAACCTGATTGTCCTCAATCATCTGGTCTAAAAGAGCTTTGGTCTCAGACACTGCACTGCAAATTGCATGAGCCTAGAAAAAGCAATGACATGGTATCAATGCAAACAGAGAACATTATAAATAAAGTGATTTGTGACACATCAGTTTATTATTTGAGCAGCACTTTGTGTATGACAGCAGGAAGCAGAACGCTGCAGGGTGGCTGAGGGACTGGAGGGATGGGGCTCCTCTCTGCCTCCAGCAGCTCAGTGATCTCTCTCTCCCGCTGATACAGGCTCTCCTTTAGCTCTTCTAGACGGGCTTTAGCCCCCTCCAGAGGCCGATCTGACTCAGTGCAGGCCTGCATAACGGAGCAAGTTAAAGGGTCAAACAGAGACTAAATAAAACAGAACAAAACAAACATTTTGTCAGTTATGTAGCTATGCAGGTGGTTTGGGTTTTATATGTTTTAAGATATTCATCTCTGAAACTTCTCTGGTCGTCTTAATGCATTAAAGGAGAGTAACATTTTTGACAAGACAGATCTTTACTTTTTCCACATCACTGCATTATAACAATACCCTTTACTACATATTGACCTTCAAAAGGTTAGATTGTTTGCTTTACTGGTGTGTTTACAGTTTTAGTCCTGCGTCCCTGATATGAGCAGCGACAGTGTCATAGTAATTAATTTCAACCCACCGCAGTCTGTTGTTCTGCTGAAAGTCCTTTTTCCTCTGAGCTTTCACTTTCCTCTGTAGCTTCCTGTTGCTCCTGTGCTGATACCATCAACATTTCCTGGACTTTCCCTATTTCTTGCCTGGCCATCTGCAGCTCTTGCAAAGCTGTTCAGTGTAACATGGCATTAATGAAGGCTTTATACACAAAGTTCAGTGATTTTGGAGCCTTAAAAGTCAACAAATGCAGCACGACTCACTGGAGGCCTGGTGGCTGTGCAGGACATCCAGCCTGTTGGAGAACAGTTCCAGCATTTTGCTCTAACAGAGAGACAAAACTGGTCTGATCATTATGGAATGATGACAACAGCTGCCAGTTCAGCTCAAATGTGGCCACAAGAGTGTGCTCTGGTTCAGAACATAGATAATG